ATCCCAAGACCCGGAACCCTAAACCTCTTGCCCAAAATCCTAAGACCCCACGCCCGCTATGTAGTAGCAGAGTGCCCACGTCAGCTCGGGGGAAGCTTACACAACATCCGGGAAGTTATCCTTTGCTCTCCTTACTGATGATGACAAGACCATAAGCATCCTAAGGATGCTGCCGAGAAAAACGAACATAAGGCTACAGTTTCTGAGGGGAATATTCCCTAAACCCGAACCCCAACCCCCAACTCCTTGTGGGTTTCGGAACCCTAACCTTAAACTCTAAGCCGTAAATCCCAAAACACTACCATAAACCCTGAAGCCGCCTGGAAATGCAAGCCCAGCTTCAAAGGGCAGGCTCTCTCCGCCGTACTCCAACGGTTTGGCGAGATACTCCACCTGAGTAAGGGTTCAGAATGACCCAATTAAGGTACTCACAACCATACTTGCTAGTCCCATGATCCTCCAAGTACGGTTTAGGATTTAGGGTTTAGGGTTTTGTGTTGAGAGGTTTCGGAGTTTGGAGCTTAGACATCAGGGTATATGGTGTGTCTGAGTGTATCTGCTATGCCGCTGCATGAAGATATCCCAGGCAATTTGACTGCGGCGGATAGTATGTCTTTCAACCTGGTCACAGCAAGCCTCAAATCTCAAACCGAAGCCGCACATTGAGGTAGGATTCATCTACTTCCTCCATAAGCACCTGAAAATAACGTTTTGCTAACACGTAGTACCAGTTGGGTCAATTCTACCCAAGAACGAACGCGCTGACGTGCACCCTTGCATGCAGTCTCAGACGCAAAAGGGTACAGCGTGCACGAGGACATGTATCAAGTAACTAGCAGCTAGCACCACATCATACATCGTCCGTGCCTGCGTTTGCTGCGGTTTGCTTCCGGGAAAGGCGAGTGCAGTATCTGAAACGACGCAGGCCCGGATGAATCAAACATTCCTGTCAAACAGGGGTGAATGGTCCCGGAAAACTCTCTCAAAAAAAGGTGTGTATGGTCCATCATGCTAGGTGCTTAGGGTCTTTGCTGGCGCATAGATAGAGGGTTCACATATATGCTGAACCTACAAAGTATAAGTGCCAAAAGTTTCGCACCACACCACCGGCTGTGAAGAAAATAAGCGGGAAGTCTGGCCAAAAAGCCAGACCTAGTCCCAATGATGTACGATCGAAACTTGCCATGCCAGCAATAAGCAGTGCAACGAATCAGTACTATTGTCAAATTCCTGCTCTGAACAGGGATCGTTTACTCATGTTTGCCGCAACAAGGGCATGAACCCCTAACGCTCCACCCTCAACTCTAAAAGTATCAATGTACCAAGGCACGCGGTGACTGGCAATCAACCCGAAAGCAATCGATTTCTCGAGTGCATCATCCCACCTTTGAAGTTTGATTACGGGTGCCTAGACACCCCACGGTGAACACGGAGCTATATTGGGCTATCTAACGTCTTGGTTTGGTGGGGCGGGGTCAAGAGGGGGGAGCGGTATTCTATTTGCGATTATGCGTTGTTTCGTGTGGGTACCGCAGATAGGTTGCAGGCGGCCGCAAGCTGGAGGACTCGCCACGACTACATATCTAGTAGCAGCATCGGCTTCTAATGCCGAAAACTCAGTTGCAGCTGGGAACGTTAAGGCCAAAAGCTGGAATGCATGAGCTGCGTTGATCATTGCTGGCGACTCGCTCGCAAGAAGCCAGAACGAAACCGGTGCGGAAGGACTGGTTCGCGGGTGGGGTCGCGGATAATTTCAATGGCAGTAGGACAGTAGGACCTCAGTAGGACCATGTAGGACCTTTCTTTTAACCTCGTTGCAGTCGTCACACAACCTACTACCACGACTGATCCGGCCTATAATCGTGCGGGGATTCGCCAAGAGTAACTATAACGAATGTATGAGTGGATGCATGCATGCATACATGCATACATGCAGGCATGCATGCACGTACGTAGGTATGTACGTAAGTTGAGTATGTCACTATATACAGAACTGGTTAGCTAAGCGAGCGAGCGTGTGAGAAAGCAAGCAAGCGAGCGAGCGAGCAAGC